AGTGTCCGAAAACCCGGTTTATCCCCACAGTACAGAAAACTGCTTACTGCGCCAAACTGCCTGCGGGGCGGGGAATTGGGAAGGCGGGCGGGGTGGAGACCCGCACGGGACCTGACGCTGGCTGCACGAGGTCGAGTCCAGCCCTGCGTCCGCCTGTCCTCTGACCTTCCCCCTTCCTCTTTCCGGCTCCCCTGGCCCTGCAGCCCGCCCAAGTTCAGTGGTAGCCTTTTTCCTAGTGTCTCTTCCTTGTTACTCTTCTTATAGTCACGGTGGGCAGAACTTGCCCAGAAGAAACGAGTGGAGGGGCTGGTGAAGGGGGCCTGGTCGGGGAGGGAAGGACTTGACTGCATGGGGGCTGCAGTCAGGACGCAACAGTTAAGCCCATCTGCCTATCCGGTTTAGCCAGGAACCATGCCTAGGGCCAGGCCAACGGTAGGAAGGGTGAACAGAGAGTGTAAGCAGGATCCCTTTCCGTAGGTAAACATTTTGTTCCAAGGAGATAGTGGGCTCTGCGAGGATCAGAACTATCACATCATCTCTGAATTGAACCTCTGAGCATTTCAGGCTGCTTACCTATTCCAGCCCCAGAGTTAGTCTGCCTTGTTATCTGGCAGCTGGGGACCTTGGGTCCCTCTCTAATCAATTCCTGAGGCAGAAACAGAACAGTTGTCATACACTTTTTTCTTTTTTTGAACCTGTCTGCTGAAATAAATGCACAGCCTAAAAGTTGAGAGTTATGTTTTATTTGGCGGACATTTCTGGGAACTCGAACCCCTTCGAGCCTGGGGTTAACAGCCTCTCAGATCGCTGTTAGGGACTGCTCCGAAGAGGTAGGGGAGGAGCCAGGATATATAGGAGTTTTCCAACAAAGACCAGGTAGTTGGAACATTAAAAGATTGCTTGTTAACTAAAGAAAACCGGGTATCTCAAGTTAAAGAATTTAGTGCTTTTCAATGTATGGGAGGAAGCAAACATTTGGGTTCATTGAATTCATTCCTTTGACAAGCACCTAGCTATCTAGGGCCAGTATCCTGTCCTTTCTTATTCTGAGTCCCCTCAGGGTGCACCTTTGTGAGTGGCTGCAGAGGCTGGGCTGCGAGCTTGTCTTCACTGGGGGTTGGCGGCAGCGGCTGATCACTTGATGGTTTCAGCATTCTTTGTTTACTGATACGGTTTGCAGTATTTTTCGCTCACAAACCCAAGCATTTATTTAAAACAGGAAAAACTATAAAAACAACATAGTCTTTTCTGTGAACAAATGCCCGTCAAGAAACAAAGAAGTATAACTCACTTTGACTGGTATTACAGTACTGCCTTGAAAAATATATTTCACTAGTGAAATTACTAAGTATGATGAGCGATGTCTGATTGGTACGCTGAAATAGTAGAGTCCTGTTTTAGACTCTGATAATTTGGAGAGAGAAACCTAGAAGGACAAGAGGTGCGGGGCAAATGGGGCAGAATCATGGTGGCAGTCACCAGGGAGAGGGCCGGCATGTTCACCAAAAAGTCTAAATACTGTGGGGTAGACATAGCTGTTTTTAAATCCCTCAGCTCCCCTGTCCCTCCTCTGCCAACCCCCAAATGGGCCTGCAGCTTCCTTCATCCTTGCCTGCCAGCTGGAGGGACAGGGCCCCTTTCGTGGACGAGCACTGTTCCCTCCCGCTGTAGTCTGGGCCTCCTCGGTGCCCCCCTCCAAACCATTCTATATTCTTTATCTCCTGCCCCTTCACTCATTGCTTGTCTCCAGCTTTTGCTTTTCTTCATATCAAATACACATGTTTGTCTCACCTTGGAAAAATGTCTGTCACAGGTCACACATTTGATAGTATTAACAGGTGGTCCAGGGCAGCAGGCACGAATGCAGAAGGTTAGGAATGTTTGTGTGTGTGTGATGTTGTTGTTGTTAAGTTTCCACATAATCGATCTTACCCTCACAGCACTCACATGCACTGTTACATCACGTCAGGTTTGCAGGTTGGATACATTGAGGCATAGGGAAGTCAAAGGACATGCTTCAAATCAGAGCCTAAGGCAAGGCAGTGGCACATGTTGAACACCTGCTGTGTTAGGCACAATCCTGAGTGCTTCCGATACATGAGCTCATTTAATTCTTACCACAACGCTGAAAGATACGTGTTATCGGTCCTATTTTTATAGATGATGACACTGAAATTCATAGCACTTAAGTAACTTGCCCAAAGTCACAGCTAATGAGAAGCAGAGCTGGGATTAGAGCATGGCCCCAAAGCCTATGTTCTTAACGACGGGCCCCTTCCTGGAAGTTGGGTGGAGTGTGTTACCATTAACACCTGAACTCTGGGCCACCTTAAATTTATTCTGTTAGAAATTTGAAATTCCCTCAAAATGCTTCCAGGCTGTGACAGTTACTTTAGTGCTTTGTAAGCATACGAAATGGTGTGTGGGCTAGATATTACAGCATCCGTGGCAGCATCCCCTAAGTTACCTAGTGATCATGCATATTAATTTCACAGTGATAGAGGGAGCCATGGAGGAATCTTTGTTAATAAATCTATTCCATACATTGGACTTTAAATATGTATCATTCGGAATTAAGGTATGACTTAAGATTGGGATGAAATCCAAGGTAGAGGGCAAGGGCAAAACAATTTCATAGCAGATCAGTAAGGTGTCTGGCCAAGTCCAGACGTGTCAGGGTACTCAAAAAAGTTACACATCAATGATCAGGTACCATAAGGTAAATAGGCAGTAACACAGAGTCCTGTGTTGGAGGAAGAGGGATTCCTTCCTCTTTCCAAAGTGAAGCCCTTCACCTGTTCTAACTCTTCCAGATTTTGCCTCATAGTTACTCCCACTGTTCCTTCCTCCCCTCCTTTAATATTGCCACCCCTACTCAGTCCCATACTGTCCTTAAATATCATGACAGTTATAATGAACACGTGCTGGGGTTTTCCCAGGTGCTGGATGCTGTGCTCAGAGCTTCACAAACATCATTTCTATTTAATCTTCTGCCAAGTGCTTTTTATTTAATACTTACAACTACTCTATGATGTAGGTGCTATTATTATTTCCATTTTACAGATGAAAAAAAGGAAGGTCAGAAAAAGTGATTAACGTTCCAGAGGCCACCTAGCTAGTAAGTGGTAGAGCCAGGGGACCGCCCAAGTCTGCCTGACTCTAGGTAGGGTCTTCGTGCCTGAGATCTGAAACCTTCCATTGTCCCCACTGCCTGTCCCATCGCCTCACTTCCCTTTTCTTTGGCTTTAGACTTACTGGATGCATCAGTGCTTTTCCCGGAAGGTATCTCCCCTGGCCTCCAAGCTCCACACTTTCCTGATTCTCCGGGGTCACCAGCATCTCTTCTCGCTTTCCAGATACTGCCTTTCTCCCAGGTTTAATCACTGACCTTTTGCTCTTCTCTTTACTAAAAGCTTTTTCTTCTTTATCTTAGAGCTTGTATTTCTTATGGACACTTGACCAAACCTCTCACCCTGACTTCTCTCCTGACTTGCAGTGCTGCTTTTCTACTTACTGTCAGATGTTTCCTTTTTGATATTTGCCTACTGTTTCAAACGCATACCTCAAACATGACTTGGCTTTTTAGTCGCCTCCATATTTCATCTTTAGTTTTCTACATAAAGCCTCCATCAACTTACTGTTGCCTTCACAATCAAGTCCATATTTTATTCGAGCATTAAAGTTCTTCTAGATCTCATTTTGATATAACTTTTCAGTCTTATTTTCCCTGTTCCCTAAAATGAACTACCATTTTAGCCATTTGTCCTCCAAATACCTGACTCACCTCCTTGCCATCCTTTGAGACCCAGCGCAAGGCCTACCTGCCCTGGGAAGCCTTTCCTGAGCACTCATCAGGAACCAGGCATATCGTGTTATTTATTATCATCTTTTCCTGTGTCTGTGCTTGATCTCCTCAATTAGATTATAACCATTGTAACCCCGCTGGTGTCTAGTGTGGCACATAGTAAGCACTTACTAATTTTTTTTTTAAATCAGAGGCCTTTTAGGGAATACTTCTCTTTTTGTTTGTTTTATTTTTCTTTTGGAAGGAGGTAATTAGGTTTGTTTATTTATTTATTCTAATGGAGGTACTGGGGATTGAACCCAGGATCTTGTGCATGCTAAACATGCCCTCTACCACTGAGCTACACCCTCCCCCCAGCACTTATTAAACATTAGTTGATTGATCAGTTGTGGAGTAGGAGGGTAGACTATGGAGACGGACTGGCCATTGAAGTGTATCCAGAGAATTGAACTCTTTCCTGGAGGACAAAAGCTATCTGTTCCTCATCTTTTAATTTTGGGAGCTGAAGCCAGTGCCTAGTGTAAAGCAATTCAGTTCTGCTGAGGTTGACCCTGGGCCAGGCACTGTGCTATGTGCTGGGGTTCTGTAAGGTTTATAAATGAATGAAGGGCTCTGGGAGTTGTGTCTCTGCTTCCCGACTTCTGTTTGTCCACCTTTCGTGCAGATGAATGTCCGTGCTTCTGTGGTGGGCAGGTATTAAGAGAAGAGTCCCAATGCACAGCACAAGATGCTTCCTCTCCAGGGTGGATCTCTTCTCCAAATCAGAACTGCTCCCCTGGTGTGCCAGAAAACCTCCGTGTTGGTCACAGCTCTTTTTGGGCTCAGCATGTAAGGGAAACTTCACCCACGTGATAGCCAAGAAGCACCAAAGAGGACAGAAAAGTCAGAAGAAACCAAGACATCTTGGACCACCAGATGGTTCCTGGCAGGAAAGGTAAGGCCCGAGTCTGAATCTCGGAGCCTGTTGAAACTCTGTGTTCCTGAAGGACAATGTGGCATTGCAAGTATTTGAGGGGGCACCTCAGGTAGGATACCCAGGGCAAGCTTAAGACATTAAGGAATGTTGGTGAAAATGCTTTGGGATTGCAGAAAATATTCTCCTTGACTTTATGTGTGTTTTTGGCAGAAAGGGGTTATTAAACTGGGTACTTTTCTCAAAAGGTCCAGGACAGGTATGCTGAAAACCAGGGTCTCAGAGAGAGATTAGATGGATTAGAAATGAATAGTCCCATTGCAGCCATGCAAACACAAATACACCTCATTTTATGCAACAAATGTATTTTCTAAATCAAATTATATTTTAAAAGCATTAGGGAGGTGAGCTGTTTAAAGGAACCCAACAGTGAAGCCTTTTTGTAATATGATTAATTACCTCCTGATAAATCTGGATATTTTTCTTATATTAGGTTTGCGCATCTGTTCTGCTTTGTTAAGTAGACAGCACCAAAATGGGCTCTTCTCCCAGACTCTCTCCAGGGGCACAAGAGTTAGGTCTTCTGAATGATAAGTTAAATGCCAGAGAAAATGGTGGCAGGAAGTACTTGTGTGTCGTAGGTGCTCAGTACAGATTTATATAATGAATTAGATGCCTGGATTATTTTATTCAAGGCTGGCTGATGTTGTGACGCCACTCTGGAGGCTGAGCTATGAAGAACAGCTCAAGGTAGGAACCCAGCTTAAGTCTTCACTCGTCCATTCCATCAGGTGAATGGCGCTGGACCTGTAGGAGGCTTGACTGGACAGCTCTATCCAGATGCCTCAACAGGTCCTTAAACTCAGTATGCTAATGAAGCTGAAATTTTAGCTTTAGGCCAGTTATGTCTTCCAAGCTCTCGAGCTATGTATCCAAATGCCTGTTTCCTCTCTTCCTTGCTTTCTTGGCTATTCTCATAGCTCTGTGAGTGCGAGTAGCAAGTGCTCTTGCTGCCTCATATACAGCTGCACTTTCCAACACAGTAGCTGCTAGCTACATGTGGCTATTTAAATTTAAGTACAGTCAATTCTGCTAAAATACTTGTTTTGAAAATGAAAATTTGTTCCAACCAGGTGACATATTAGGGAACAATTTGAACATAATGCACATTTCACGTTGGCTTGTGAGTGATTTTGTCCGTGAGAAACACTCCATGAAAGAGGGGGTTTGCACCAAGCCAAACTGAGCTGCGTAATAATTTGTGAAATGAACACGCTCACACACCTCTCCCGGCTTCCTCAGTTCACTGAGTGTGTTGTGAGCCACACTCATTCACATCTGCTATGAGAACTTTCTGTCCCACTCACATAACCCTCCTTTCACTACCTCATGATAACTCACAAGTGGAGAGCCACTTCCACGAGCAAACTAAAGGGCTTCATCAGGGTAAAGTGCCATCCTTATTGTAGTAGTTAGACATTGCTTAACCATTTAACATGCGTAAAACTACAATTTTATTGGGTTCCTATCTTTTCTCTGTGTGTTACTGACAAGGTTTTGGGATGTGTGTGCCCAATCCTATTTCCCCATGAGCTCTGTGATTTTTTTGGAGTAATTTTGCATAGTATGGTGTAGGAATGCTTTTGTCATTTGATAGCAGAGCTGACTATATAAGTTAATTAAAATTAAGTAAGATTAAAAAATTAGTTCCTCAGTCACAAGTCACATTTCAAGTGCTCAGTAGCCACATGTAGCTAGTGTCGGCTGCCATATTACATAGAACATAACACCAATAGAGAACATTTCCATTATCACAGCAAGTTCCACTGGACAGCACTAACATATAGCTGCAATGCTCAGTCTGAAAGGTCAGATAAAATGATGAGCTTACACAAGAGCTCGCTTGACCTTTTCCCAATACCTCATTAGGTTGGTTGCTGTTCCATCAGTCCAAGGGTTTCTTATCTGCTGAGACCGTGACCCAAGAATCCGTGGAACAGCCTTCTCTTATCCTGTTTGTTTTCTATTCTTTGTGGTGATACTGCAAAAGTCTTTTGTTTCATTGTTTATATTCTTTTGCAGATGAAATTTGAAGCTCAGAAGAAAATTCTACAGAGACTAGAGTCTTACCTCAAAATGCTCAATGGAGTCAATGGAACAATAGCTGCACCCAGATCCGAGGGGCTATGTTGTTTTCTCCATCCTATTATACCTTCTGTAAGCCCCCACTCCCAATCCTTTATCTATTAAGTCCCCTTAATAGCTAATAATGTAAGCCAGTACTTAACCAGGCACTTGCTGGGATCCAGGCCTTATGCTTAGTGAGTAACACGCATCATTGTCTCATTTACTGTTTACGATCACACTGAGGGGTAGACACTATCATTTTACAGATGAATACTTGAGGCTCAGAGAGTTTAAGTGATTTGCCCAAGGTCATATATCTAGAAAGTGCCAGAGCTGAGGTTGATCTGATGCACAGCCTCCTTTCTCAACCAGTACATTCCTACCTGCTTAGAAGATTCCAGACTTTGAAAATCTTCTAATCCTCATCCTCTCTTCAGAGAGGTCAAACTTAATTCATGGCAGAGGTTGACAGACTATGGCCTTTAGGCCATATCTGTTCCATTGCTTGATTTTGTAAATAAAGGTTTATTGGAACACAGCGAGCTCACTTGTTTATGGATTGTCTGTGGCTATTTTTGTGCTACACAGGCAGAGTTGAATAGTTGTGAGAGGGACCATATGGCCTGCAAAGCCTGAAGTAATTTACTACCTGGCTCTTTATTGGAAAAGTTTTTCAACTCTTGCTTTATGGCAAGATTGGAACTCCTTTTTTATGTGGAATGTCTGTGGAGTGCCTTGATCTTCTCAGCCATGGACTTTCAGAGACGCCATACCTTCCAAGCAAGCATCATTTATTTGTCCTCATCCAGAGAATGTTCTTTCATTCCTTGTATTGTCCCTCTCCTGTCCTTCTGCCTTCTCCAGCCTGTCATTGATGGCTACCGAAATAAGTCCACCTTCTCTGTGAACCGAGGTCCAGATGGCAATCCGAAGACTGTGGGGTACTACCTGGGATCTTGGAGAGGTCAGTTGAAGGCTGTGACTAGTAGAAATAACAAACCAAGGACTGAGAGGAAAGGAAAGGGTACAGAGAACAGTGTTGTTGGGAGTGGAGAGGAGTAGGGGATGCAGTGGCTTTAAAGGAGAAGGTTGAGTTGGAAGTCTTTGATGCAGAACATGATCACAAGGTTAACTGGAGATGCTTTTGGGTGGGTAGTCATTGTACCATAGTGCTAGGGATCAACACCCTTCTTTTCCCCCACTCCCTGCTTTCTTCCTCTGAAAGCCATGTCTGAGACCTAGTAAGCACTTGGTAAATGTTCATGCTGCTGCTGCTGCTCTGTCGTTATCATCGTTGTCATCATCATCATCATTGTTGTCATCATAATCATTTTATGTTGTTTTCTGTACTGGGAGCAATATCCTGCTTATTAGAGAGATGCGCTTTCTAGTTCACAGCCCCATATCTCTGAAAACTAGAGCTTTCTGTGATAAATCTACCTTAAAGGAATTGGTAGGAGAGGTGAATGCTGGTGAGGGAAATCACAATCGCGTATTTCTGAGACTTAATTCCAGTATCCGTTCCAGAATTCCATTCCTGAACTTTCTATTTGCCCATTTTCAATAAATCCACTTGAAATACCATCATTTTATATTAGTCACACTGTTTAATATCCATATGCCTTAAACTACAGTTCATTAGGGCAGGTGCTTGGCTTTGTTTTTTTCCCCTGCTGAATTAAATGAGTATGTAACGTCAGTGTTCTGCTATTCACTAACAGAAAAACAAAACCCATTACATTTTATTTCCCTCTTAAAATCTGAACAGAAAGCAGACATTGTCATATTGTGCATTTGTGGCATGAGAGAAAATATTGTGGACTAGCTCCATTAAGAAGAAGCTTTTTAACGGCCAGACTGGGAAACAGGTTTTCTCTGAAAAATGGCCTTGAGCTTGAAATTAGGTACTTTGCTTCTTCATATCTGCATATGTCTCTTTGAAGGAGGGATTTGAGTTGCCAGACATTTTCTTCTAACTAATCTTAAGAAGCAAACCATATAAATCAAATTCTTTTTCTTTCTGTAGAGGGGAACGTCGTCTGTGTACGATCTAACCATCTGAAAAACATCCCCGAGAAACACAATCAAGTGGCACAGGTAATAAGGAACAAAGGCTGGTTGCAGGTGACCCCGGGCATTGTAGTCTATAACAGCAGCATCCCTGACATTTTAATAATAGAGCCTCTTCTAGTGCTGCACTGGAGTAAGGTTCTGTTCTGAAAGCATACCTCTTAATGGTGGAGGGAACATGACTAGTGTTTCATTTCAGAGAAGGTGGAGAGGAGGAGAGAGAGCTGCATCCACTATTGCAAATATCAAGCATCCAAGAAATTTAATAGGGGAATTTAGGATCGAGAGGTACTGATGAGGACAGTATAGCAAGTGGCAGGTGTCTGAAATATTTGGAAGGCTAGTGTTTTCAGCAGAACAGAGTTGAAAAATATCATGAGAGGTATAGGAGTGGTGGTAAGGCATCTACATCATTAGGTTGGTCTCTGAGACATTTTTATATCCTTCGATTTCATGTGCCCACTCTTTATTGAGTGCCTACTATGTGTTGGACACTCTGCTAGGTGCTGGAGATCCAGTGGTGACTCAAACAAACATGGTGACTGCCCTCCTGGTTCTTACAAAAAAGACAAAAGCCTTACTTATGAGGACTAAACAAGACTCCCAACTGACATACTTGTTCCCTGTTTATACTTACCAACACCTATCCTCCTAATGATTCAGCTTTCTGACACTTGGGTGGTACCTTCTGATAGGACACATCTTGATCTCCAAGATTTCCTCACTAGGGCACAGCTCCCATCTAGAATCATTCTCTAGAAATCTTCCTACATGACCCTTGTCAATTTCTTTTCCCATTCTCTTCAGTGATTATTTTAAACTCTTACCTCTCTTTGAATTTCCTATCCCATCATGTTTACCCTTGTTCTTGATAGATGACTTTGCCTGGTTCTTCACTGGAAAATTAAGACCATCGGATGAGAACACCCTTAGCTGCCTCCCCTACCATCTGCCAATTTCATTGAAAATCTTACCCCACCTCCCCTCCAATCTCAGTGAAATGCTGTCAGTCTTCTTCATTGAAACACCACCTTGGAGTCATCTCCCTCCCCAGGATCCTTGCTCCTTCATTACATACCCTCTTTTTCCCCACCTCTGTCAGTTCTCTTCCTTCAGTTCATATTCAATATCTCTCATTTTTTAAAAAAAATCTGATGGTTCTTGCTTCTGTCCCCAATAGCCCATAGAAATTGATCTTGTCCAGAGTCATCAGTGACCTCCATTTTAACAAATTCAGTGGAAACTTTCTGCCCGTAACTTACTCAACTTTTCTCTGCCTTTGGCACCACTTATTATTCTTATTTTCTCCTTTGAAACATTATCTTTGGTTTCTGTGATATAGTTCTCTGATGGGTTTCCTCCATTTTTGCTGGCCACTTCTTAGTCTTTCTCACGGTGTTGGTGTCATCCAGGACTCTGTTCATGGCCTTCTTTTTGAATCTATTCATAGGAGATTGCACATAACTATAGCTGATGCTTGGGATGACCACCTATAAATTGACAACTCCTAAACTTATATTTGCATTCCAGCTCCCTCTTGAGCTTCGGGAGGTACAGTTCCAGAATGCTACTGAACACCCTCACTTAGTTGTCCTGCAGAGCTCTTCAAATCAGCATTGCCCTAGATCAAGATTTTTCAACCTCTGCACTATTGACATTTTAGGTTGGATAATTTTTTTCGAGTGGGACTCTTAGGTGCATTGTAGGATGTTTAGCAGCATCCCTGGCCTCTACCCACTAGATGCCATCAGTTGTGACAACCAAAAATGTCTCCAGGTATCTCTTGTGGGGCACAATGGCCTCCAGTTGAGAATCATTGCCCTAAACTAAATTTATCCTATTTCCTTTCCAAATGTGCTCTTTTTTCCTCACCTTAGTAAATGGTAGCACCATGTACTGGAAGCATATGTCATCCTAGACTTCTCTCTCTTAATCCCACCAGTTCCTTCTTAACCACTTCTAATTAATCTCCAAGTCCTTTCAGTTTTCCTTTCTGAAAAGACCTTGACTCTACCCTCTTCTTTCTATTACCACCACCATCATCACCACTACCACTCCAGTCCAAGCTACCATCTTTTGCCAAGACTACTACAGTAGCCTCCAAACTGGTCTCACTGATATTTAGTGTTCATATTGTTATGACTATGTAGATACTCACTCCTGAGCCAAATAGATGTACTAAGATTTTGTTTTCATTATTGTGCATGTTTTTTCATACATTTCATACTATGGGAAATTAGAAACATATAAAAGTATAGAATGGTATAACAAACTCCATGTGTACCCATTACTTAACTTCAGTAACTCAACATGCAGCTGTCAACATGCCCATCCTATTTTAGGTATACTCTCACCCGCTTTCCACACCAACCCCTTTGGATTTGTTTGAGGCAAATTCCTGACATTATGTCATACAAAGTGTAAATACCAAAGTGTGAGTTTGAAAAGAAAGGAGTTAATTTTTTAACATAATTTCATACCATTGTCACCCTACAAATAAACATTTATCCCATAATATCATCAACTACCTAGTAAATGTTCAGATTTGGTGCTGTTTTATCTCATAAAAAGCTTGATTGTTATAGTTGGTTTGTTCAAAACAGGATTCAAACAAGGTAAACACATTGCATTTGATTAACGTGTCTCTCTAGTCTCTTAATTTGTAAGGACCCCTTCCTATTAATTTTTTTGTCCCTGCAATTTACTTTTTGAAGAAAATGGTTCGTTTTCCCATGGAGATTTTCACATTCTGGATTTTCCTGGTTGATACCATTGAATGTTCTTCCTCTATACCCTGTGTTTCCCATAAGCTGGTAGGTCTAGAGTATTGATCAGATGCAGGTTTGATTTTTGGCAAGAATGTTTTTCTACGTAGATGTCTAATGGGCTTTCTTTTGGTGATGTTAAGATTGAACAGTGGATTCAGTTGTCATCAGCCTGATCCACTCATTAAAAAGTTCCCTGTCAAGTGGGGAGGGTGTAGCTCAGTGGTAGAGTGCGAACATAGCATGCACACGGCCCTGGGTTCAATCCCCCATTAAAAAAAAAGGATTAAATAATGTTCCTTCTCAGCTTTTCACTTGGTGGTTTAGCAGTCATTGCTGATCGTTGCCTAGATCCCTTATTTCAGGAGAAGGTGCAGTGCATTGATATTCTAAATCTATCATGCCCTCTTCATTTATTAGGTGGAATTCTTCTGGAAATAACTTTTCCCTATCAACCCTTTGGTGACTCTAAGCTACTTATACAAGAAAGGCAGGGTAAATCCTTGGTTCTTTCGTCTTCCTCAGAAAATGATCAGTTAAATTTGTCTGTTTTAGTATCATTATGAACTCAGATTTTTTTTAACATACCTGATATGTTTCAATCTACTGCAGATACTAGTTTTTTTTTTCTTTTTTTTCGTTACTCTTAATTGTTCTGTGTTTAGCTAATTGGAACCTCTTTAAGTTGCCTGAGAGCCCCAGGTTGCCCTGACAGTTCTGGAATGATAAGATTTTTCTAGCATATCTAGTCCATTTTCTGCCTGGAAACTGAAATCAGCCATTTCTTCAAGGAATCCTTCTCTCTTTCAGTGGGAAATGACTAGGTGTTAGGGATGCTCATTTATACTGGATTGGTCATATTTCAAGGACTTTTTAGTGGATAGAGCTAGGAAATATTTTTAAAATAGAAAATATATGAGTTCACAGTGATACATCCAAATCAAATTTAAAATTATAGAGTTTTTACTTAAATCCTTTGATTTTTATATTTTTATCTTTTGTCTCTTAAACTTTAAAGAAAACTTTAGTCCTGACGTTAACATAATTACAGTTGACCCTTGAACAAGGCCATGGTTTAGCGGCACCAACCCCAGTGCAGTCGAAAATCCGCCTTGTATCTGTGGTTCCACATTCACGGATTCAGCCAACCATGCATCGTGTAGTACTGTAGTACATGTTTCCTGAAAAAAATACCCTCATGTAAGTGGACCTGTGCAGTTCAAACCCATGTTCAACAGTCAGCTGTACTTACTCTATCCTACTCTTTACATATATAATTTCAGAACAATAGTACCAATATTACTACTAACAAATGATTACTGAAAAGAGTACAGGATTTCTGTCTAGTTCTTTTTGTCAAATTATTGTCGCTCTGAAGGAATTCATCTCTTTGGGTAGTTACACCACCAACTTGACACTTGATACACAGGATCTTTCTGTTTTTTTTACTTTTTACTTTTTGTTTTTTGCAGGAGGAGGTAATTATATCTATTTATTTATTCAATGGAAGTGCTGGGGATTGAACCCAGGACTTAATGCATGGTAAACATGCACTCTACCACTGAGCTATATCCTCCCCACTGATTTTTTCTTTTAAATTTTGCTTGCTTTCAGATTCTAGGGATTGATTTTTCTCCTTTTGATTACATTTTGTTTTACAATTTTGTAAAATATTTACATGCTTTCAAAGTCAAATCTACAAAATCAAGGTACATCTTAGGTATAGTTTTCACCTTTGTCTCCTCTACCCAGTTCCCTTCTATAGGTAAAATTTTAATTCATTTTTTTATTTAAAAAATGGAAACATTTGTATTCCCTCCCTTTTCTTAGCTAAAAGGTAGCTTAATATGGACACTGTTCTGTACCTTTTCCCCACATAATAATGTACTTCATTTTTTTATAGCTGCTTAGTTCTATGTAATATGATGGATTTTACAACTTTGTGTTTTCATTGGCTTGAATAATTATGTTGAAGTGCTAATTATTTTTCTGAGTGCTCTAAGAGCTCTGTCAGACATTCATCAGTATTTTCCATGTGATCAAAAGCTTGAGTTTAGTTTTTTTCTCTGAGGACCTTCTTCCTGGGGTCTCCATCCAAGCCCCCCAAAGCCTTCTGCTTGGCTGTTATCTTAGGACTCCTTTTGCTGTTCTCCTATCTTTCCCCCTGTTTCTTAGATTCCCCTGTCTTCCTTTTTCTGGTTTACATCCTCATTTGGCCAAAGTACAACCTCCACTAGCTTCCTGAGGAAATGTGCCTAGGAG